CAGCCCATGGCCCAGCTGGCTCATGGGACGGGTGCTTCCTGTTTCTCCTCCCAACTCACAGGTGCTGTTGGCCTATGGGAAGGGTGTTTCTTATTTCTTGGAGAATTTTGAAAACTTTGAATTCATCCAGGTCTTGAAGATTTGGTGGAATTTATTTGTGAAATTATCTGTGTTTTTCGTTGTTGTTATTATCATTTTGCTTTTTGTTTTCTCCTTGATCTCTTTAGTTTGTGAAAACTGACTAGAGCATGCCATTTTTGATGGGGAAGTTTTGGGACATGCTTTTTCCTGAGAGATTTATCTGTTTCAACCAGGTTTGCAAATTTACTGTTAGAGGTTACTGTGAGGTTGCCTCACAATTTAAATTTTTTTCTTTTGTTTCAGTAATTATTTCACTTTATTATTTATTTTTATTTTGTATATTTGGGTTTTCCCCCTTTTCTCAATCAAGCTAATTGGTCTATTTTGCTGATTTAAAAAACCAGGCCAGGTTGTGGTGGTGCACACCTCTAATCTCTCCCAGCTATTCAGTGGACTAAAGCAGGAGGATCACAGTTCAAGCCTAGCCAGGGCAATTTATGGAGAATTTGTATCAAAATAAAAAAGTCTGGGAATATAATTCAGTAGTAGAGCACCTCCAGATTGAATCTTCATACCACAAACGTACACGTGCATGCACGAACACATGAACACATGCACTAAAAGCCAAACAAACCAAATTCTGGTGCATAAGAATTTTACTTTGTTGATTAGATCTACTAGTTGTCTGTAATGTCTACACTTTATTATTTACCTTTTCAGGTTTCCTGTTGGTTTATTTGCCTATGTGTATGTGTGTTATAGGGGCTGGAACCCAGAGCCCTGAGTGTGCTAGACAAGTGCTCTACCAGTGATCCCTAGCACTTTTTTCCTAAGATTTGCTAAGCTAGGAATTTGTTTTCATATTGAAAAATAAAGCTTAATACTGAATTATACTGAAGCTTAATAATGAATTTTCTTGTAATGAGTGCTTTAATGTGTTTTATAGATTTTTGACAAGTAGTGTTTTTTTCATTTTTAAAGAAATTCTGTAATTTTAGTTGCATTTCCCCCTTCATCCAAGCGTAATTTAATATAAATAAATGTCCATGAAGAGAGTTTTTTGGGCTGCTTTTCAGCACTCATCATTTAGTGTATTATGATATGTTTTGTGACCTATCCCCCCAGGGACTCAATGGTGCCTTCTGAGCTGTGGCTGTGTGTGGTTGTCACCTCTCAGGGACTGCACTGATCTCCTGCTGCTCTGTGGGTTTCTGCTCTGCTCACCACTGACAGTCATGGCACCTTTGGTACTTGGAAGAGGCAGAGAGGGTGGCTGTGGAAGACCTGTCTGGATCCTGGGTGACTCTCAGCTCCCTGGGGAAGGCAGCATGTGAGTGGTGCTGATGATACATCTGGGAACTTGTGCTCACGGGCTGCTGTGTGCTGAGTCTCTTGTCTGATGTCTATCTTATTGCCTCTGAGCTTGGACTACAGACTCCTTTGAGGTACGGGGTGTGTGAAACTCTCATCTTGGTGAGGTGTCACAGCTAACACTATGGTCTGCCAGCTGAGCTTTCCCTGACACCTCAGCTGGGCCAGAGCTCTGTTGCTATGGTGCCTCACATCCATTCCTACCCTTAGCAGGGTGGGGACTGTTGATATAGTAGGTGTGTGGTCACCTATGAGAGCCTCCCAGCCCCTGTCCTAGGGCCATGGCACCTTGAGATGCTACAGGGTGAGATGAGGCTGGTGCTATATGCAATGTAGGACCCACACTGTCTTGTGCAAGATGCCAGGCAGAGAGTGATGTAAATCTGAACAATTATCACACTGGAGGGTAGGAAAAGAAGCTGGGTGCTTGATTCTCACTGTGAACTTTAGCTTGGTGCCTGCAGCTCCTGAATGCATAGGGATTGGGCAATATCATAAAGGCCATCATTAACTCATCTGATTCCTTCCAAGAACATTATAAAAGCTGCCTGCTGTATATATGAAAAAGCTTCTTGGTGCCCAGTTGCCCACAGGCTGTTCCACCTGCTCTTCCTGGTGTCATGTGGTGGGAAGTAGTAAGCTTCCTTCTAGATTCTGAAAGACTCTGAACAGGTTTGGAAATGCTGGAATTTGTGATGTCCAAAAGGGAGATGGGGATGGGGAGCAGGCTGAGGAGCACCGGAGTTATGGGGACACATGGAACAGGTGGGAACAGCAACCCACCACCTGTGGAGGTGCCAGCTGAGTCTGTTCCTGGGCCCTTTCTCTGCCACCCCCCTGGCCTGCTAGCTGCCTAGGGCCCAACTCCTTCTGAGTGCACTAGGGCTCGATCTGTCCTACCCTGCAGCTTCCACCCCTACTCTCCCCACCATGTCCATCTGTCTGTGTATGGGGACCATGAGCTCCTGTGAACTGACTGAACTGGCTGCAGCAGGACAGTATAGCAGTGGCTCTTTCTATCCTGACCCTGCTCCCAGCGGGCCTGAGGGGGCCTGAGGGGGTCCAAAAGTTACAGACTGGGACAGCTGGGCTGTTTGCCCCTGTATCCTTCTTGTCTACTATCAATCACCCAAGTAAGGGCAGATAGTTAGGGTTGCTCTGGCCTTGAGCTCCACATGTCAAGCATGGTCTCAGAGTTGGGCAGCCTCCTCAGTCTATGTCCAGAATATTCATCCCCAGGCAGTGCCATCTGCTGGCTGTCAGTCCCTTTCCTAGCCCTCACTGCCACTCTGCTTTCTGGCCATGGATTTGCCTGCTCTGGACATTTCATATAATTGGAGCCACACAGTCCAACACAGAAGCTTTTGTATTCAGCTTCAACAGAGTATGATGTCTTCAGTGTTCCTAAAACCAAGATAGCTACTGTCACCAGTTTTCCCCAGGCTGAGCAGCAGCCACGCAGAGTAGATGCTGTTCTACTTGACCATTTACAGCTGGGGATGCCATTTGCTGTGGGCAGGTGTGCACCTGCTTGGATCCAAGTCTGTGTGCTGTCCTGGATGTTTGCCAGGCACAGAATCATGAGATCAATGCAGTTCTGCTTAACACTAGGATTTTACATAAGGACTTTGCTGTGCTGAGGGGCACCTGGGACCTGTGCTGGTGGAAACTGAGCTGGTGGAACCTACTGGCCTGGTTGTGGGACCGGGTCATAGGTTGTATAGGGAGGAGGCCTCAGCTCTCACAGTCAACTCTGCTCCACCTCACAGCTGCTTCTTTAGCCAGGGACAGTCCTCAGTCCTTCCCTGCCCACTTCAGCCAAACTGCTGCCTCATCCCCGCTGGCCAAGGCCACCCCAGCAGCTCAGGACATGCAGCAGTCAAATCCATGAAGGGGCTGCTCTGGCCTTGTCCTTGGCGAGACCCAGGCCCAGCTGTTATAGGGTTGTGAAAAATTTATCGCTATAGAGACAGAGCTTGGTGGTGCCCATCACGCCGAGTGTCAGGTGCTGCGTCCATAAGCCGCCCTTTGTAAGCAGCCTGGCGTCCGCACTGGGTTGGCACTGTCTGCTCTGAGCTGGCATTTCCTGTCCCCTTCCCAGGAGTGCCCCTCCTCCCAACCCCAGCCTGGTGCTATCACAGCTGTAGGCTCAGCATGCAGATGGCTGGGACTGTGCAGGCACACTTACTGATGGGGAAAGGGGTCAGAACATTGGGATGCTAAGACTGGGGTGCATGTTACCCTTGCCTTTCACACAGGAGCAGTGATCTGTGAGGTAGCTATAAGGCCAGGAGAGACAGGGCCACTGTGGTTTGGGTGGGGGGAAGCTGTGGAGTGGGGATAGGGTCCCAATGCATGTTGTTTTCTACAACCCTTAGGCCTCTGGACCACAGCTAGGCTCAGAAAAAAGGCTGTATGTGGGGTGGGGGAATGAGCCTTGGGCCCAGGAAGCACCTGCCCTGTGTCAAGTCATTTAAGTGCCTGGCCTGTGTTTTGGAGAGGCCAGGCTAGGGTGCCACTCCCCAACTCTTAGGTAAAGTGGCCTTGCTTGTGCCATTGCACTGTGGCCCGGGGACTAGCCCACAGTTAACTGAAACATTTACAGACCCTGTAGGAGGAAGAGCCACCCAGTTCTCAGGTCACATCCTGGGGACCTGTCTTTTGAGTTTTACTTATTGTTTCAGATGGCTTTGAATTTTTTGTAAAAATGTTAATGTCTCAGGGAGGGAGGCAAAGCCAGTTGGACCAGTACCCAAGTTTGAAAAACTGGAATTGGGAATTCACTCCTTGAGACCAAAGGGAGTCTACTGCTGCTTCTGGTGGGTCAGGGATGTCTCCCCAAAAGAATGCATGGTGTGGCAAGCATAGAAGGTCTGTGTTGGTGATTCACACTGGGCTGGAGGGGCAGAAACTGTAGGTGGGGAGGCCCAATCAGGAAGCAGTGGGTCCCAGAGCCCCATGAGGAGGCAAACCCAGCTGGATGACCTGACTCAGATCCTAGGGAGGAGCCCAAAGGAGGCCACAGCTTTGCCTAGTGGACATGTGGGTTGGGGGCAAAGGTGTGGTGTGGGAAAGATCCAAGGCCCATACTGGGTTAGAAAGCAGGCTAGGCTGTGACAAATGCACACACTTTCTCTGTGGAGGGTTACCCAGCAGCTGAACATGCATGGTTGGTCAGGGCTAGACAGCAGGTGGCTGCTGTGACTGTGGGTCAGGACCAGTCTTGCCTCTCAGTCCTCACATGTCAAGTCTCTGGTAGAAATCTAGAGTGACCAGCCACACTGACGATGCTCTGTGAGATCACCATCATGAATGCATGGGATTCTATGCGTTCAATACTTGAAATGTAAAAGATTTGTGTTGTAAGTATGTGCTTTAGAATTTAAGTGGGCTGTGGTTCCAGGAGCTCAGTGTGACCTCGTACCTGAAGGCCAATTGGTTCAACACATGTGAGCTGGTGCCAAGAGACTGTAATATGCTCAACACTCACCTCTGATGGGGGCCTAGATCAGGGGAGCACCTTTTATTTTTTTCTTTTATTATTTCAGTGTCAGATGTGGAATCTGGAGCTTCACACACAATACCTAATTGCTCTGCCATAGAGCTGCTGCCCAGGCCAGAACATCACTTCGGTAAACGAGGGTGCAACCCACATGGCAGCATAGAGGAGAAGAGAAGGTTCATTGACCATCACACTGCTGCATAGCTGAGTGGTAAGGTCCTCTCAACCCATGGCTTACACACCTGTGTGGGTGGTGGGGTGGCCTGGCAGGTAGGAACACCTGAAACCTGGTCATGGGTGCCATACCTCCTTGGGGAAAGTAGGCAGGGGCTTATCAGGGTGATGGACACTTATGGTGCAGACCAAGGAAAAAGGGCCAGTAGGGAGAATTCAGAAGTCGAGGTGGTCTCTGGCTCTGAGCACTGGTGAGAACATGCAGGATCTGAGAAATATAGAGTGTGTGTGTGTATGTGTGCATGGTGTAAGTTGGATTTACTTCTCTCTTTTTTTTTTTTTTTTTTTGTCTTTTTTCATTTTAGCGGTACCGGGGATCGAACTCACGACTGCCTGCTTACAAGGCAGGCACTTATGCCGCTGAGCTAAATCCCCAACCCCTGGATTTACTTCTCTTGATATAATTTTTTTTATTTTAAAGAGAATAAAACCAAGCAAAATGAAGCAGAAAAAAGCCAATCAGAACAAAACTATAAGTGGTATAGGATTTCAAAACAAGATAATAGGAAATCAACAATGGCTACCATAATGTTTCTTGTTGTCTTCAAAATAGCTGCCCATACCATCAGACATAGGAAAAATAAAACAAAAACAGAATAGAACCAATAAAACAAAACAATGAATGCAATACAAGACTTCAAATCAAGATAATAGTAAATCCAAAATAACTACCACAATATATCTTGTTCTCTTTGCTTTTTTTTTTTTTTTTTTTTTTTTAGACAGGGTTTTGCTATGTAGTTCGGGCCTGGCCTTGAGCTCACTTTGTAGCCCAGGCTGGTTTTGAACTTGCAACAATCCTCCTGTCTCAGCCTCCTGAGTGCTGGAATTACAGGCATGAGCCACCATGCCTGGCTTTTTTTTTTTTTTTGTCTATCTGTTCTCTTTGAAATAGCTGCCTGTGCTGTGCCATCTGATGTAATAAAATTAAATGAGACAAAACAGAATAAAACCAAAGCAAACCAAACAATGAAAACGATGCAGGACTTTAAAACAAAATAATAGGGAGTTAATAATGGCTACCACCTTTAGAAGGAGATTCCTCATAGATGCTACCGTGCATATTATGCTCTAAATAGATGATCAGTTTACTGCAAAGTCAATGAAACACTAAACACTACAATCATTAAGTTATACTTTACTTCAATAGCCATCACCTCAGTCTGTTTCTCTGAATCAGCTGGTTGCTCACAGGGGCTGGCATCTGGCCGTCCTCCCTGTGACCATGTTGCCAACTCACAGGACGTGGCTGGCTTCTTGTTCACCTCCCCACAGCCTGTGAATGGCTGGCTTTCTTTACTGTAGCATGTACCTGAGATGATGAGCTTATAGAGGAAGATTTATTTTGTCTTACTGGGCTGTGAATTTAGCTCAGTGGCATGAGTGCCTGCCTAAAAGCACAAGGTCATGAGTTTGATCCCTGGTAACCCCCTCCCCCAAAGAGAAAAGTTAATTTATTTTGTCTTGCTGTGTTGGAGAGTCCCGGCCACAGTCAGTTGGCCTCCTTGCTATCAAACTTGTGGTCAAGCAGCACATTACAGTGGTTGTAGGTGTTGGAGCAAAAGACCATTTACCTTGTAGATGAAGAGAGGAAGAGGAAAAGGCCACCAACCCTTTGAGGGAAAACCATGACCAGACCTTTCACCAGGCCTACCTCCCAAGGTTCACCACCTCCCAAAAGTGCCAGCTGGGGACCAAATTGGAGACCAACCCTTCCACACATAAGCTTTTGGGGAACATTGAAATCCACACTACTCCAGAGTTACCCTAGGTGGCGTGTGAATGTGCTGAGTTCCTGTTGGTCCTCTACAGAGCCAGCCTGGAGCTAGTCTGTCAGCAGGAATGCCCAGTTTGTAGGTCAAGGACAGGTCCTAAATCTGGTAGCCGTGTCCTTCTAAAAGTGGGGAGGATAGAGGGACTATGAAAGATAAGCACAGAGAGCTGTCAGCCAACTAGAGAGGGAGCAGGGATGCAGTGGTGCACAATCCCAGGAAGGCCTGGAGCCCCCAGGAGGAGGGAAGAGGCCCTGCTTTGCAGCATGGGGCATGTGGTCTGCACCAGTTCTTCTCTTCTCCTGACTGGGAGGAGGAATATGTTGCCTTAAACCCCTAGTTTGGGACTTATAGGAGACTCACTGGCAGGCAGGGCTGCATGGCATGGATATGGGGTTATGATTATAGTTGTGGTTATGGTTAGGGTTAGGATTAGGGTTAGAGCAGGCTTCAGCACAGGGAGCCCCAGGGCCTACCCTTGTAGGACTAATGGATCCATGAGGAAGAGACTGCCATGCTGCAGGACACTGAGGCCCCCAGCCCTATTCTATTTGCTTTAAAAAAAAATCTGGGTGCAACCATATGCTGCAAAGACACATACCTAATATCACAATTTGATGCTTTGACAAATGCAGCCTCCTTAATCAACACATAGTTGCACTTAGACCCAAGCCAACTCCATCACCCCACACCCCTCATGCTGGGCCCCTGTGGTCCTGATGTAGTCATAGGTCATTTTTACCTTTTCCAGGACTCCCTACAAATGTGGACTTTGGGTTGGTTTCTTGCATTCAGTGCTGTTATAACTTGAGCCCCGGTATAAAATCCAAGGAGGCAAGAGACCGAAAATTTAGTGGCAAAGGCTTTATTTCCAGGCCTGGCGACCAGTCTCTGGGAGCCAATTTGGAGACTGTCCCCTAGAAGCTGAAGGGAGGACTTTAAAAAGGGGCTGGAGGAAAGGGCGGGGGGAGAGAAACAAAGAAACCTGTAGAGCCATCAAACTTGTCGACCCGAGTCTGGAAACTGTATTGCTGTCCACTTAGCTCTGACAATCTAGGGAGTTTCTGGTGTTTTTTAAAAATTATTTTCATCCTGCAGACTGACATTATCTCAGAGTGGCACGTCTGCAGCAATATTTGGAGAAGAAAGTGGACAGTTAATTATCTCAGGACAGCTTGTCTTCGCTAGTGAGTGCGAAGGGGTCACAAGTTATGAGACGCTGGAACTTAAGTTTTACGAAGACCTGATATCTAACTCATTTGATACATACAGAACAAAAGGAAAGCACCGATTGGGGTTTGGGCCATAGTATTACCCGGTAATTTGTTTAAGCTAAGCAGTTCTTAAAATTGGGGCAGGCTCATTTTATAACAGATCATCACCGGGTCAGGGGGAGGTCACCAGAAACCCAAATTTTTTATGGCCTAGATAGATAGGTGAGGGGAGAGGGAGGCAATAAGGCACCATACAGAACAGAAAACGGCGGTAATGTGTCAAGGTCAGGGTAAAGGGTTAAACTCACACGCAAATCTCTCTGCACACAAGCAGGTTACTTTAAACAAATGTAAATTAATTGCCATTCTAGTTTTCCTTAGCTCTTTAGCGGAGAATAGAGGCTCCTAGCAGTGATTAACAACCCTTGTTAGCTTGTTTTAGCACAGCTTCTGTAGTTTGTAGAGAGCAACAATGGTTAACATATCAATTAGGTGAGATTTTTGCAATTCTTTACAGAGGAGAGTGTTGCTCAACAGATCAATTAGGTCCCTTAACATATCAGTTAGGGAAAAAGGATAAAACAAACACATTTAGTAAGCCCCTATATAGGTTTGCTATAATATACATATAACAAAGCTATTTTCTTAGGGTACAACAAGTGCCATGCCCCTAAATTTGGAGTTTCCACTGTTCCTCTCTTCTTGCCTCAAAGCTCTGGCTCAAACTTCTCATCTCAGTGATCAGGTGGCCTGCCCAGCCCTGGCCCTCAGCAGAGGTTACAGTCATGATTTTGTTAGGTTGAGGAAGTTTCCTTTCATTCTTAACCTGCTGGGTTTTGGAAACAGATGTTGAATTTTGCCTACTATTTTTTTTTCTGCATATGTAGATACTGAAAGGGTTTTGGCCCAGACAGGACACTATAGCCAGGAAAGCCTCAACTGGAAGCAGGAAGCCCCAACCTCCCCCGCCCCTAGGAAGTTACCTGTGACGCCATCTTCCCGCCCCTGGAAATTTACATATGGCGCCAAACCTAGGACCAATGGGCTACCAGTACACCCCTAATGCCCGCCTTAGGTTCCACCCCAAACCGAGGCTATTTACATGCCCCCACGCCACGTGTCCGCCGGAGAGATGCCGGTAGCCTGCGGTAGGGGTGGCGGTCATCTCTCTCTGTGTTTTCAGAATAAAGGCTGCTTTTTATTTTATACTTCTCATCTTTTGGAAATATTTTTCATCTTTTGGAAATAATCCTAGCAGATACGATCATGTAGTTTTTAAAATTTAGTCTTTTATAATTCATTCCCTGTTCCTGAATGTGGAACACAACCCCACAGTCCATGTGGGCATGACAGATAATTCTTTTTATGTATTACTGATGCCATTTGCCAATACTTTATTGGGTTTTTATTTTCTGTCTATTCATAAGGGATATTTTTCTGTAGTTTTCTTGTACCATCTTTTTCCAACTTGGGCAGGAGGATTATGCAGTCCAGGTCAAGAGTACTGGGAAACATTTCCTCATCTTCTGTTTTCTGAAAAGGCCATATGGACCTAGTGTTACTTTTTTCCTTAAATAACTGGTAGAATTACCAGTAAAGCTATCTGGGCCTGGGTATCTATTTTTCATATTTTTAACTATAGTTTAATTTCTTTAATACATATAGGGCTATCCAATATCCATTGCATTTGTTCTGGTTTCATTGGGATTTGGTTGCTTGCGGCTTTTTGGAAACTGCTCCATTTTTTTTCTGAGCTGTCATGTGTGTGCAGAGGGAGGCATTTGGCTTCCCACTTGGGTGGATTCAGTGCAGCCCAGGGTCTGAGATTGAGTGTTAATCAGGCTACAAGGGCAGTTGAGCCCTGAGGGGTGATGGCAGAAGCAGGAAGAAGCCAAGGACACAGAACCACCCCCATGACACCCACCACAGGAGGATGTGGGTGGTAGACTCCTCAGGCTATGGTAACAAAGCCACACCCTGGGTAGCTCCAGACAGTAGCTCTGGAGACCAGAAGTCTGAGCTCGGGGTGTGGCTGAACCTTGCTCCTTCTGAGGTTTCTCCTCCCTTGTTCAGCTTCTGGGTTTATATGCAATCTTTGCTTCTGGCTGTATCACTCTGTCTCTTACAAGGATACTCCTTAGATTTAAGACTCACCTAGATTAACAGGATTTTTTTTCAAGGTTTTCAATTTAACTGTAATTGCAATACCCCTTTTACTAGCTAAGGCCACATTCACAGAGTCTGGGGTCAGGATGAGCATGTATTTTTTTTGGTCCCTTAAATGATGGATCCTCAGCTGCCCATGTCAGCCTTGCCTGTTGCCTGATCACATGGGTAGCTCAAGAGTCTCTTTGGTTTTGCTCTCCATGTGGGATACATATGACCTATGGCCCCTTCCTGTCCTAAGTGGACCAACAGACCTAACAAAGGCAGGAGAGGAAGCTCTTCCTTTTGGGGGTGTTTATGGGTTTCTGGCTGAGGCAGGCTCAGGGCCAGGGGACCAACACAGTATTGGCTTGTTCTGCAGCATCTTTCATGAGGTAGGCATGTGAGGATTGAATCCAGTGAGACATCCACTGCCTATCATGGAGCCAAGCCTTTATTCTCCCTCTCATGATGGAGGCTGCTCACTTTGAGGCCCTGTTTTAGGAGGTGGGCACTACTGAGTTGTACCATCGACACATCCCAGGTGCTGCCTATAGGGACCTAGGGTTAGTCCTGGCTCTGCCTGTGCTGGGGACCCTGAGTCCAGAGGGGCCCTGTGAGTATCTTGTCACCCAGGCATAGGGCCCAGGGTGACAAGTTGCCCATGTCCTTGCAGCCTCTCTCTGGCTTCAGTTAGCAGTATGTGAAGTGCACACTGAGTTCCAGGCACCTCATTCCAGGCGGCTGGGTCAGCGTCTTGGCCTTATGCCACAAGACAGCTGTGGTGCTGGCCCTGACAGGTGATGCCCAGCTGTCCCCAGCAGGCTTGAGGCAGAGGCATCCCATCACTGCATTTAACTGTTGCCTGGTTTCATGCCTTGCAGTGCAAGGGCAGTTGGCACTCTCTGTGCCCAAGAACTGTGCACCAGGCCTTCTTGTGCTCTTGGTGCCTTCCCTGCAACCTGTACCTGGAGTAGATGAATTGCATTTAGATCCAGTTCCCAAGAGGTACCTTTGGGGCCAGAGCCTGGGGACCCTAACATCTTCCTTTTGTGGAGGAGGAGAAGGTTCTAGGATCTAGAAAGCTCTGTCCCTTGGTGCCTCTGTGCCCATGTGGTAGGAAAAGCCTGACCCAGGAGACATGGAGATTTTAGAGGTGCTCCCCTGCTGGCCTTGAACCATGAGAAGGGAAATACTGAAGCACCATATGCCAGGTCAGCACTGAAGCTCCACTGAGTCCTGTGAATCAGCCTCTGTCCCCAGAAGCACTTTGAGCACCAAGGGACTACAGAGCCCTGCTGCATCTACCAGCTGGGAGCCTGGGCCCAGTGGTGGTGGGGCCTTCTTGGTGTGTGGGAGGGACAAATGGGCTGCCACATGGGCATGAGCTTGGCAAAGTGCAGAACTGGAGTCTCAGTGGGCCCCACTCTAGCTCTGCAGCCAAATCTTGTCCACTGAGGGAAGCAATGGACACTGGGACCTTTCATGGAGGGTTGCAGGAATAACACACCCTGAGGGATTGGTCAAAGCCTGGAGGTAAGGCTAAGGATGCCCTCACAAGGTGCCACCTGTTCTTTGGACAGAGAATCTTGGTCCCTGGAGGCCAGAAGTTTCCTCTTATGGGTTCTGGCAGTTGCAGAATGGTGAGGCTTCAGCTGTTGAGAAGAGAAGGCCCTTGAACCCCCAGAGGCCAAATGTGGAACATGTTGGGCCAGGTAGCTTTTGGATGGAGCAAGGCCCAATGTTTGGGGCTCAACATGAGTAAACACCCTCTCCCAGGTTGTTCTGTAGGTGCTAGCTCAGGTTACAGCTGTGGTGTGGCTGCTCCCTGTAGTACAGATGGCCATGGCAGAAGGCTCAGGCTAAGGTGCCCGACTCCTGTCTCCAGGACATTTTATGTTCACTTTATAGGACTGTGTTACTGTAGAAAATGCTCTCCCACACTATGTGAACCTGTGCCTGTATATGTGAGCCCAGGTGTGGCTCTCCTAGCTTGGGAGAGACCCCCTTCTCTCCTCCCCTCCTGGGGGAATGCAGTCTCTCCTCCTTGGGAGCATCCCTTTGCTTGGTTAGCATTGTCCTGTCTGTCCTTCCTGGGAAGGACTTGTGTTGCATCTTCTGGTTTGTACTGCTGGCTGTGGTGGTGACCCTCCTTCTATTCCTCTAGAATAGAGCCAGGTCTGCAGGTGGCACTGATAGAGGTACTTCCTGGCCCTGCTCCCCATGCAGGCTAGGAGGGTGTTCCTGTGGCCTCTCTGGGCCACACTAAATATGTGAGGTCTTCCCCTCTGGCTATGTGTATCAATCTCTAGGAGCTGTGACAAGGGACCACACACTGGGAGTTTCCAATAGTGGTAGTTTATCCTCGCAGTCTGGAGGTCTGAGGTCTAAAAGTAGGGTACAGGCTGCAAGTTGTTCCCTTTGACTGTTTATAGGATTTTGCTATTGTAGAAAATGCCACACACACACACAACACACACACACACACACACACACACACGCTATGTGAGCCTGTGCCTGTGCCTATGGGAGCCCAGGTATGGCTCTCCTAGTTTGGGAGGCACCCTCTTACCTGGTTCAGTTCCTTGGCTCACAGACACTTCTGTGACTGGCTCTACCTGCTCTATTCCCTATGTATCTCCTTTCTTCTAAGCTCATCTGCCATTGCATTTGTGGTCCACCCTAATTCAGGATGAGTTTTATTTTATGATCCTTAATTATATCAGCAAAGATTGTGTTTCTAAAGAAAGTCACATTCTGAGTCCTTGGGTGAATGTGAATTTTGGGGACACTATTTAGCCCATTACAGTGGGATTGTTCTGGGAAACAGTTGATTCTTAGGTGGAGCTGACAGATACCCCAGTGATGGGATAGTCTCTGAGATCTACCCAGGTAATCACAGGGAGGGATGCAAGCTGATGGGACCAGGAGCCCTCTTCTAGGGTAACAATGACAGAGCTTGTGACCTAAGGTGTCTCATGGAGCTCATCCTTGTACCAACCTCTCACCTGAGCTGTCCACCATGGACAGGGCAATGATAGAGGACTGCAGACAGACAGGAAGCCATCCTGGCCCTGCAGCTGCAGTCACTAAGCGGGGTTGACGTGGATAGGACACAGCAGCCCCTGATCACTGCTAACAGCACTTCACATTTCCCATCCAGAGCCCTGTGGGGGTGAAGCCACTTGATAGGATCCCAGAGCCCACCCCAAAAGGAACAAGGCTTTCCCCCCTCTTTCTCCATGTGGCTTGGACAGCTGGCTCCTTAAATATTAATCAGGGCCATTGAGATGCAAATATGTGCCCACCACAGAAAGGCCTGCAGCTGCAGGGCTGGCACTGCTGCCCCATGCCCAGGTGCACCCAGGCAGAGCCAGCGCGAGGGGGTCTCAGTGACCTTCCCTGAGGACAAGAGGGTGTCTGAGGGTGAATGTGAGGGAGGGCAGTGTGGGGTATGCCTAGCTATTTTCACTTCGATGGCTGTGTTCCTGACTTTTATCCTGGGCAGGTAGATGCTGGCCTTACTCTGCTTGAAGGTACCAGTCTCCTCTGCCTCATTTGTTTACCTTGGATGAGTCCAGCTGTGCCACTGGCTTCCTCAGCCTCAAATTTGTCTTTAGAAAGCTATGATCCAGAGAAACAAATTGCATTGTCCATAGAATGTCCTGCACAGAGTGATAGGCAGCTGGGGCTCCAGCCCAGCCCATTGTGACATAGACCTGTGAAGACTTGTCCCAGAGCCACTTCTCCTTTCTTCACCTCACAGGATGGAAGACATTTCCAAAGAGGAGAGTCTTGGGGAGGGATGTATGATCAGGTAAACCACGAGAGAGGAGGAAGTAAAAAACCCAGGCCAATGCTATCTGGACAAACACAGCAAGATTTGTACTTGACAGCTGAAAGTTTCCCACTGACACATTTTTAATGTAAAATGAAACAAATGTGAAAAAGTACACAAATTTAAGTGTGAACTTAGACACTTCCCACAAAGTGAATATTAGCATAGTCACTAGTCAGACATGACTGTAGCCCATGTCTGTCCCTCCTTATGACTGTGGCCTAGATATGACCCTACGGGATCATTCTACCTGAACTTAGGGGGCTGCTAGTGGCCTGCACAGGCTTTCTGTGTTGTGAGTGGCTGTCCCAGCATGACAGCATACTGTCACTCACTGTCCCTTTCTCTAGAGGGACACTCGCATAAGTGTGGCTCTGCCTTGCACTCTGGGAGTTGCTGCCCTTTGGGCCCTGGCAGTAGCAGAGCTGCCCACTCACACTTCTGTCAGAATCTGTCTTGTTATATCAACACCTAGCATCACTGTCACTTTATTCAAGGATGCTGATGTCTCTAGCTTTATCTTTAGTCAACCCCACACAGCTGTTTGTCAGCCATTTGCGCATCTTGCTGCCTCTGTATGATGATACAGTAGCTTGAAAACCTACCTGGCAAGTGTTTAGGTTGTGCAACTCAGAGCTTTTGTGGCCAAACTCTATCTGAGACTCATAATGATTTATTCATGTAAGGTGTGCAGTCTTGGGTGCACGACATGGGCCTTGAGCAATCAAGACAGTGCCCCCAACTTCCTAGATGGCTCCTCATCTACTACTCAGTCAGCCTGACCTCCATCTGTGCCTGGTGACTTCTGGCCTGATCCTGATCATAGAAGTCATAACATGCTGTCTGCACTGGAAGTCTCTGTGATGGGATCACACAGCACATCTCTTCATCTCTGTTCAGCTGGGCATGCTACTGAAGGGCGGATCACCTGTCAGTACTCAGGTCTGGACAGCTCATCCATCCTGCTAATGGAATGTTCCTGGGTTTTGGCTGTTAACATAGATTTTAGAAATCTTTGTTTTTATTCTACTTGGGAAGGTCCCTGAGAAGGGAGTGGCTGGTTACATGTAGTGCCTGTTTAATTTTTCCAGAAATTGCCGTGCTTGCTTCCAGAGTTGCTGAGATCGTGAATCTCTGGCTGTTATTTTATATCGGAATGGGTCCTTCCCTATCCAGGTAGAAGGTCACATGTGGCCTTGGCTGGCTCTTGCTATACTCCTTGCCCCACTATTAATTACTATGGAGTTAGGACCATGGACACTGGTCTTAGGGGTATGTGATCCTCTATGCTTGGCAAGAAAGGGACAGAGTGTTTTGCCTGGTAGGCAGTGTGAGCCTCCTGGTCTCCCATGGCAGAGGTTCAAGCCTTGGAACACTTACAGGACTGTTTTGTTGTATTCTAAAAAAACTGCCATGGCAGACATAAATATAAAACTAACCATTTTAAAGTCAACAATTGAGTAGCAATTGGTATATTCACAGTGGTGTGTAATGATCATATATCATATCCAATTTTTCGCCTCCTGAAAGAAGCTCTGCTATTGGGGCAGACAAATCCCTCTCTCAACACCCAGCAGCTACTAAATACTGGCTCTTTCGTAATGGTTTTCATTGCTGGCGACGAAATCCAGAGCCTTGAACATACTAGGCAACCCCTTTACCACTGAGCTACACCATCAACCCTTTTTAAAAAATTTGAGACAGTGTTTTGCTAAACTGCCCAAGGCTGGCTACAACCTTGTGATCCTCCTACTTCTGCTGGGTTATGGCATGTACCACCAGGTACACTTCCCTCCAGAAAAAAATTTCTCCTTGTTTATTATGAGTTTTATATGTTGGGGGGTTCCATCTATTTGAGTTAATTTTTTTGTAGCATGAAGGGTCCAACTTCATTCTCTCGGTGTATATATCCAGTCTCCGCAGCACCATCATTTGTTGAAAGTAGCTTTTACCTCAACAAATAGTCTTGGAGGCCTTATCAAAAACCATTTGATCACACATGCACAGATTTTACTCTGGGGTCTCTATTCTGGTCAATTGTTCTGTGTGTCTGTCTTGGTGCCAAAAACCACACTGTTCTGATTGTGGTAGCTTTGTAGTAAGTTTTGAAATCAGGAAGTGAGACCTCCAACTTTATTCCTCTTTTTGAGATTGTTTTTGTTATTTGCAATTCCATGTGAATTTGAAAACTGGAATTTTCACTTCTACAGATAAAGGCCACTGGAATTCTGACAGGAATTGCATGAGCCTTAGGCTACTAAGGTAGTACTGCCATTTAAAATTTTCCTGTTCAAGGATATGGATGCTTTTCCATTTTTTCAGGTTGTCTTTAACTTCTTCCAGCAGTGTTTTTCATTGTTTGAGTTTTTCATCTCCTTGGCTGGGTTTATTTCTAGGTATCTTGCTCTCTGTTAAATGATGCTGCTTCCTCAGTTCCATTTAATAATCTTTAAGTGGCTAAAGACCCACTGACAAAGTAACAGAGAGCCTCTGGTCCAGGGCCATGCAGACCTGGCTCCCAGTGTGATTGTGAACACTGAGGCCCCATGGCTGCTGCAGCAGGAGCAGAGGACGGGATGGAGAGTGGACCTGACCCAGCTGTTGTTCTATATATGGCTGATGGCCACAGCCTGGTGGACAGTGCCTATTGATTAGAATCCCTGTGAAGTGGTGGCCCTTCAAGGGGCTCGTTCCATGTGAGGTGATCCTGTCTGAGGAATCCCTACCCCCATGGTGTTGGGAGGTGGAGTGTTCAGTTTGTGAGCACGTTGGGTTCTTTTTTTTTTTTTTTTTTTTTTTTTTTTTTTTTTGGTACCAGGAATTGAACTCAGGACCTTGTGCTTGCCAAGCAGGCACTGTCCCACTGAGGTATACTCCCAGCCTGGGGCATGCTTAGATTCTGATCCAGCTTCTACCCAGCATTCTCCATAGAATGGTGACCACCTATTATGCCTCTCGTGATTCCCTGGTGGGAATGATTTGAACATAGAGAAATAAAGAGCAAGTCTTTAGATAGTGGTTGTCCAGTGATATCAGGCCCTGCAAGTTCCCACATTGAATCCAAGTACCCCCTTCTCACAAGTCTCTGTCTGGGCTGGCTGAGAAACATGAATTCTCCTCCACCAGGATCTTCATTTGAGGAACACACTGGTCTGGGCCCCCCCAGCAGACCCAGTCTGCCCACTGTGCTGGGGATAGGGCCTATCTGGAATGTGACCAGGGAGTGGGTGGCTGGCCTGGGAGGGGAGGGCCATGTGTTCCGATGTAGCAGAGGTGTGGTGGGAGTGACAGGCAGTGGCTCTGAGTTGGTGCTCAGTGAGGAGGGCCTTGGAGGGCTGTGAATGGAGGAAGGACACAGTGGAGTCCCTGGTGGGGGATGACCTGGCAGTGGCAGAGTTGTCAAGAGGCATGGTACAGTTGTGATGGATGGATAGTGGCTGATCTCTAGGCTTGGGAAGTGCAGTTCTGAGAGGCCTATGACTGTCAGGAGGTAGAGGCTGAGTGGGTCACATCTTGACCTGAGGCTACCGGTGATGCTCTGGTGGCTGGCTCTCCAGAGCTACCATCTGGTGTGAGGCATCCCTCCCTCCCTGGGTCAGAGCCAAGGGATCTCTGGAGTGGGTGCTGTGTCACTGGATCTCCCATGCAGGAACAGGACTTATTCCAGTGGCTGCTACAGGAAGAACTGGGCTCTGATGGGGCCACATGCTTGCCTGCCATGACTCCCATCCTGGTCATATTGCAAACCCTCAACTCTACACTGAGCACGCTCCCTACCCACATCCCGCCATGAAATTCCTGGTGTTATCATTCTACTGCCCCGCATAGCTCTCACAGGCAGATGGACACATATGGGTCTGTGTACACAGTGGGTAGTGTTTCTGGATATGAGAAAGGGGCCGAGTGCCAGTGCAGGTACACTCTGAAAACATCATCAGTGATGGCCTGGTCACTAAAGGCCACATGTGTTGCTCCACTTATATGAACATCCACAAAAAGAGACAGGAGGCGGTTGGGGCTGTCAGGTGAGAACAATATTTGGGGTGATGGAAACAGCAGAGGTGATGGTCATACCAAATGCTGCAGCTGCTGGATGTACAGCAGTACCTGGCTTCTTACAGTTATCACCATCCTGGGGCCTCCAGCCCCATGGGGCTTTACTGGTCAGACCTTCTTTCTTTCTGGTCAGGGCTGTGGGGCCACGCCTCCAAGCTCTACTCTGCAGGGTGAAGCCCTGTACTCAGCTCCACTGAATCTGCAGCCCCCAAGGGACCTCTGGGAGAGTTAGGGGGCACATGACTAGGGAAGGTCTAGGAACAGCACACGGCTGGGCTAACATTGTAGACCAGGATTCACTGTGGTTCTGGCAGGGGGCATGGAGGGCTGGTGTCTACTGGGTGTGGAGTCCCTGACTATTCTAGCAACTGCTGCCCCTGCTAAGCCTCCACCACCATCTTGTGGTTGGCTGTACCCAGCCTGCCAGCCAGGACAGTCCCCAGGCTGCCAGTCAGCTCCTGGGGCTGCCGTGGGCAGACGTGCTGGCTCCGGGCTCATTGCTCTGAGGCCCATCTGTCCCCAACAGACACAGGCGCCCTGTTCCCCGGGAGCTGGGACACCATCTCTCTGTTTGCACCTGGGCTAGCCATCCCCCCAGGCGCCTGGAGGGGGGGCTGTACACAGACTCATACTTGTACCCACCTTGGCCACACCACCTTGTCCCTGCTGGGCCCTCAGTGGTATGGCCAACCACATGGGTTCCAGACACTGGGATGCAGGGGTGGGCAGCTGTCCCCATCAGGCTGGGCAAGAAGGGGGGAGATTCCACCAGGAGCTCTGTCTTCCCTCTTTGCAGTCCTGCCCACTTAGTAATTGTGAAGCAGTAAACATTCCTCCTGGGCAAAGGCCTGCTGGCCCTGGAACCTCTGTGGCTGGGAGATGTGGTCACCAGTTGAGAACAGACAGCTTCTGTCCATGCCCAGTGCACACGGATCTTCTGGCGAGGAGCAGGGAATGTGAACTGAGTGTGAGGTGGGTGGAGACCGTGATGATGACAGTGAGCCCCTCCCCATTTGGATGAGGGGACATCAGTGGGGACAAGAATACTGGACACAGGATGGGAACCTGGCTGTCCACAGAGTCACAGGGCCAGCACAGCTGACTGAGGATATCAAGGAGCCCCAGAACAGGGCTGTCACCAAAGCTTTAGCTGAGGAGGTGTCTGTTCACTGAGATTATCCAGACATAGGTGCTGAAGGCCCCACCAGGCAGCAGGGGTTGCAGAAGTAGAGTGGTTCTCAGAGCTGAGAAGAGCCCAGAACTCTCAGGAAGCCTGGTGCCCAGGAAAGGGATAGGGAAGAGTGAAGGGACAGGGACACTCTTCTGGGGGTGATGCTGTGGTGGGACTCCATGCAGAGCAGGCTCTGACCTTTATTGGGGGGAGAATAGCTACATAGGTGTTTCCAGGGGCCACCCTCGTGCCTGGAAGTAGTCCTTCAGGTCCTCTAGGCGCAGTGGGGGAAAGTAGGGGCCGATCCTCTTGCGTGCCCACCACTTGCCTTCTGAGGCATGCTTTCCTCCAGGGCGGCTGAACCGATACCGCCAGTGCTCTCCACGGATCCACCTGTGGGGGGCAGATGTCAGCCTGGGGTACAGTTACTCTGCTCATTCTGTGCTGAGATGCAGTTTCTCCAGGGACCTGAGGTCCTTACTCTGGGAGAGTGCATTTCACAGGGCCCTAGCCCAGGACCCTGAGGTTTCTGCCTACCTAGGCCACCATGGATGGAGCAGACAAAGGCCCTAAATCCTACCCCTTAATCCAATTCCAGGAGACCCTGACCAGGATGACAGCTTCTAATTCACACTTTCTGTTGTCAGATTTGGACATGAAACAGGCATGTGGCTGCAAGGATGGCACATGCTGTGTCCCTGGAGTCCCGAGGGACCCCTGTGTGCAATTCTACTCTCCTCGTCTGGCTGTGGGCAGGGTGGCAGTGTCCGGGCCTTCAATGGGGATAGAAAGAGGAGGTAGTGACTGTGGGTCTCAAAGCTGCTGATTCCAAGAGGGGTGACAATCCACCTTCTATCTGAGTCAGAATCCCAGGCAGAGGGCTCCTAGAGTAGGGGGTGGCCTGGCTCAGGCCTTGACACATGGCCTAGGGATGTGTGGGTAGGTGGGAGTCAACATGGGGGCTGGGGTTGGGCAGTGTTAGACAGAGTCACACTGAATGTTGTGAGATGGCAGAGTTAGTCACACTGAATGTGCATCTCCTAAAAAGGCTCCTGTCATGGGATCAGTCCCCCTTTCTGGATTCTCTCTCTTGCTGCATCCTCTGAAGGTGTGGTGTGGCTGGTCCCCTGATAGGGATGAATATCTTTCAGTGACAGCCATGGCTGGCGTGGAAGGAGATATCCTGGGCTTCTTGTGCACTGTCAGTGAGAGCGGCCAGGAGGGTCATTACACTGTGCCTGGAATGTTCTACAGCCTGAACAAAGTCAATCTTCTAGAACACTTAAGATCTGACACTATGGGCAATATCTTGCAGAACTAGTGTAAGATCCCAGCAAGGACCTACCACTGCCCAACCCTTCACACCAGCGAGCTCTCATCCTCTGTCATCTGGTCATTTTGAAAGTACTATGTAAACGAAGTCCAACTGAGTGTGGCCTTAGGAACTGGCTTCTTTCACTCAGCTCTTTTCTCTGGAGGTTCACTGATACCTTGTCCTCTTCATGTTGATGAGATATATCTGAAAGTGTGGTCACTTCCCTGTGAAAGGCATCTTGGTTCTTTCTAGTTTCAGTCTATTACAGCTCTAAGAACATTAGCAGGCAAGTTTTGCACAAACCCTGTTTCTGTTTCTGGGCTCAGTGTCCACAGATGGCATCAGTGGGTTGCATAGTGGCTGCAGGGTTTCTTCTCTAGGCATTGCCAGAATGTTCTATAAAGCAACTATGCTTCTCTACCAGCTGTGTGTCTGGTCTCTGGGCTCTTTACCAGCACTGGGCACTTGGTGGTTTTGTATTACAAGCATTCTGATGGGTGTGTGGTAATGTCTCTTCTTTTTCTAGTTCTTGAGGGGATCCTGGGCTTAGGTCACAGATTTGAAGTCTGCCTTCTTTTCTAGCACAGGCATTTAGTGCTTGATCCCTGATCATTATTTTAGCTTCATCCCACAGATCCTGAATATGTTTTCATTCAGTTTAGTGGATGGCATATTCTGAGATGTTGGTTAAGTCCCATTGCTTGCTGGTATCACCCAGTTGTTTGGCCAGCTATTTCAGGAAGAGTGCTCAAGAATCCAATGGGGACTCTGGGTGCCTCCATTTTTCCTTTCAATCCTGTGCAGTTTTCTCCACATACCATGAAGCCCTATACTTGGCATACATGCTCTCAGGGTTGCTGTCTCCTTGGTGAGTTGACCCTCCCATCTTTATGTTCTGCCTGTTTTTTTCTTTGAAATTCATCTGATATTGATCTATCACTACTGCTTTGCATTAATATATATGAGATATTTTTCCCGTCCATTTGTCCTCAGCCTAGCCATGTTGTTATGTTTGAGGTGAATTTTTTATGCACATCATATGGTTGGATCATGATTTTTGGACAGTGTCTTGCTGTGTAGTTCAGGCTGGCTTTGAGCTCACTTTGGAGCCCAGGCTGGTCTCAAACTTGCACTGATCCTCCTGCCTCAGATTCCTGAATGGTCATGCAACACCATGGCCATCTGGTGTCATGATTTTGATTAACTCTGCCAAACCTTATCTTTTAATTGCTAATTTAGACCATTTATGTTTAATGTA